TTTTTTGCTTTAGCAAAGGAACTGTGGTAATTATAATTAAGAAAAATTTGATTTTTAATTGAATCAAGTAGGGAGTTCCGTACTAGACCTAACCTATTTCTGACATGTCAAAGTATGATAGGAACAATCTCAATCAAAATCATCCATGGATAAAAGACCTGCTGGATGGGCCACCTGTTCAATACCACACTCTACATCAACTTAAGACCCATCTTGAATTGACGTGTTTCATTGATAAATTTGACTTTTCAAGTTGTATGTTATCTGTACCATTTATAAAAATGAGGATGATGGTAATGTTTTGTAAAAAGTCTGATTTTTGTTTTTTATTTTTATCATTTATGTTTTTTATTTTTTTAAAATTTATTTAATTAATGGTTCATGCTTGTGATTGGATAAATCAAATAAAATAATAATAAAATCACTGTGGAACCTACTCCTTTCTCCCCTTAGGCCTTATTTGATCTTCTCCCGGAGCACCTACCTAATGAACCTCTTCGCTGATTAAAGCCAACATGTGTCAAGTATCAGATGGTTTGTCCAAACCACAAGTTTGAATTGAAGGGACAAATGGAGTTTTTTCATTATATTAATTCATTTTAGGGTGTTTTTTCTCGATGACCATCGAGCCAATCCGATAATCTAACACCCTACCAAAATAATACCGTAGGGGTTTGCTCCCAACTAATTCCTTTGTCTCCTCTTAGTTAAAAAGTAAGAAGAAAATGTTTTTAGGCTTAAATGTAAGTTATTTAATAGTCTTCTTAGATAATGACTTCTACTATTCAATGGTTATTTGAGTAAATTAACATAATAGCTTTATTTATTTCTAACCATTAATAGTAATTATTTTCATAGGTTTTAGGTTATCACGAAATAGGAGATCAGTTAAGAGTGGCACCTCCATAAATTTTGTATTTCATTGGGAAGAAGTGAATTTGTATATAATGTTGTTGAATGTAAATTTATCATTGATTTGGTGCACTAATGTTTCAACCCGATGCATTTGCAACCAACATTATATGCATATTATAGAATTTATATCTTGACATTTTGTGAGAATAGTCTATTTTATGTATTATACAATTGTCTTAAGATTTGAATGGTATGTAAACTTTTCATCTATGCCCGATATATAAAAGCATAGTCAAACATCACCATCAATATCTAATACCCCATGCATGGCATGGGCCATTCCACTAGTTTTATATGAAAAATGCCCACATAAATGGACCTCTTTTAGACGAATGTAATGTGCTCATTTTGGACCCCAATTATAATTGCCACGTGTAAGATTTCTGGATCTTTAGATAAAAGTTTTGCAAATGACTTGAACAGCTAATTCTTCTTTTTCTTCGTTTCTTCAAAGGGGTTCTTTATGTGTAGGACAACAGGGTGATTGCTTTTCATCTTCCACCACCATAACAAGTATATTACCCCATATTTTGATTGTTGGGTTCTACCATTGGATGGTCCCTGTCAAGTACATCAAACATTAAGGGCTAAACCCATGTTCTCATGTTCTTTTCTACATTTTACTGCCTTTACCTGGAGTCAAATCCACCCCCCTTGAAAATTAAATCCCTAGAAAAAAATGGAACATTACACGTGAATATTGCATATTGAATAAATTATAAAATGGTAAAAAAAAATATTATGAAATATATATTCATCAAATATTAAAAAAAATATAACCTAATCAAATAGGTATGATATAAATTGCATATTTGAATAAGTAGAGAATTATCAACCATATATAGAATAAAATTTATATATAATATATATTGCGACTGCCCAATAAAAAAAAAAAAAAAAGGCATATGCTAGGGATCCAACTAAAAAGCAGATCATCTGGTGTTATGAGTTTAAATTAAAAGGGGATCATGTGTATGTTTCATTGGGCGGTCACAGGAAATTGTGCGGCAATGGCTGCCCACTTCAGTACATCAACGTGAGCTGTTGTTGGGTTTTTCATGAGGTTCCGTATCTTATTCGTAGTCATTTTGAGTCTTAAAATTAGAATCGTATATGATGTATACAGGAAAAGTTATTGTCTTTACTCTTTACCAATAGTTTATAAACAAAAAAAGTAAAATTTAAAAGAAATAAGAAGAAGAAGAAGAAGAAAAACTAATATATTTTTGATAATTGAATGGAAACAACAATTAATATAAAAACAGTGTAGCCAATCCAACAATTGCCCATCGTTAAACATTAACTCTTCAGGTGACCCCAGTGTAGCTGGAAAGCAGACAAACATTGACAAAGACTTATAAGAGTAGGTTCACCAGCCGTTGAATTTTCCAGACCCATAAGATACAAATGAATTAATGAAGAGATTCTTCCAAACAAAGAGAACCTTCAGGAATCAAGGTGGCGAGGGAAGTAGAATATTGAGAGTCAAACTGTGGTTGCCATTTATTCTGGTATAAACAGAGTAGTGCATGTCACATCCCTGAGAGAGAGGGAATAGAAAACAAGGAAAGTTCGCGCAGAGGAGTATGGTATATAGTCGGATTGGTTGGATCTTATAGAGACTGGGGAGAGAGCAAGTACTACAGAGTATTAACAAGGAGCTCGTTGGTTATTGGGGTGATGGTGTAGTATTAGACTATTAGTTATACGCCAGGTGGTCTTAATTGGATGGTATTTTGCGAATTTGAATGTGGACAAGACAAGCAGATACTGTTTGTGTAGTCCTACGAATTAATACGACTATAGGAGGGATTTGAACTTTGAAGTATAGATATTAGATAGTGACATGAGTTTGGGTTCCGGAATCTTTTTCTCTTCTCTTCCACTGAGGACTGAGACACTAACAACTCATGCATGGAATCTCGATTCCTGGATTCCTGTAGGTATTAATTATTTTCTAAAAACATTATGATTCCATTGAGAAAGTCTACGTACGCGAGTGTGAAGTGGGGAGAGTGAGAAACCTCTCCATCTCTCAACAATCTAGGGAATTATATATAATACACCATACAAAGACCGAAATCATTTGCATAATTGATTCTCTCTTCGTCCTACTCCTACGGGGCTGGGCACGGCAGCAGTTAGCATGTCGTAGTACTGGACCTACTGGTTTGAGCTGGAGGAGGTCCCCCCCGCTTATGGAATCTGAACCCTCTTCTTTTCCTTCTACCATAAGGTTGGAGGTGGCTGACTGGCTGGTTGGATTTTAACCAAACACTGCCCTTTTCCTCCGCATTAATTTATTACAATTTATAACAAGAAAGTGAGAAACTGGATCTGGGTGAGTGCTGGACAGCGCACCCAAACAAATTGAAAAAAGAAAATTTACAGTACCGGAAAAATATGTCCAACACTGAAACAGTGAAACTATTACATTTAGTTGTCGTTTCTCGCGTCCAAGATTTGAATACTTGGTGGGAAGTGGGAAAGTGGGAACCTGGGAAGGAGGCATTTAGTATTTTATATTTTGGAAACTGAGATTGCGGAGTCCCCGGCCGGGATCGCTCTCGGTGTCCTTTCAGTTTCAGCTTTCAGGCCACCACTGCCTGCACCGTAGCATGTAGTCTCGTTCCCAGTTCCCAACCAATAATTTATAGTCGGAACAGTCGTGTTGGGTTTTCAAAGCCTACTACAGCTAAGGTTGTCGGACTACAATTACTCGACACACAGAGGTATAGAGAGAGAGAGAGAGTGATAAATTAATTAATGACATTCGTTGGATAATTGAGTCGAGTCATCCCTGATCTAACCATCGTGTGAGTGTTATCAGACCACCGCACCAGCGAGCGAGCTTAATTTGCCCCTATGAGCTACGACGGGTTTACATATATAACGCTATACAGCTACTCCGCTAGTGAAAGCGGCAATATCCTAAAACACCAAACGACGACCGTAAGGCGTAAGCAGTGGTGGGGCATTCCTCCTATCCTTCACCAACCGGCCACCGCTCATCAAAGATAGACAACAAATAACGACGAAGAGAGTACGTTCCCAATATTAAGAAGGGTATCCTGTTGAGAGAGAGAATAATAATGCTGACAATTAACGTAACAGTAGGCTTATATCCCATCCCGTTTGCTTATCCTGTGAAAGAGTCGTCTGACCAAGTCCTCTAAATCACTTTCCGTAACATTATACCTTGATTGAAATCCCCAGGCACAGGGTTTTGTTGAGTGAGGCCCTGTCCTCTCTCGCTCGGTCGTTCCCCTTGAGAAGAAAAGAAAAACAACACAAAAGCAACAACATGATTCTTCAAACCCTAAATCATAAATCAGACGACGTTACGAGGCTCAAGGTCCACCACGTACAGCGGTACAGGTAACCCAGATGCTTCACGCCTAAGCAACCAACTACTCGTCTTCGCCACTCGCCCCCCTATTCAGTATTCACATCATTCTGCATCACTTGATTGACTAAAATAATAATATAATAAAGAAAAAGAGCAAAAAGCAAAACACGCCTGACACAACGCTTAAGGGTTGTGTCATGGGTGGGTGCGTGAGAGATTCCCCTCCCCTCCCCTCGAGAGCAGACAAACAAGAGTTGATCGGCTGATCCGCAAACCACCGGATGGTCCACCGCCTCGATCACCGGAAAAGCCCAAATAAATTTCATGATCATCCCCAGATCAGAAACAAATGCCAAGTCCCCACATTTTTTCCCACCTAATTTTTGTAGCAGTCCTTGTGAGTAAAATAAAGGAAACAATTCCTCAGTTAACCAAAACGAGCACCGCCACAAAAACAAAAAGGGGGTAGTATATTTATATAGTTGGAGACTCCACCAGGAACATGCATTGCATTTATGACACCAAAGTTTAAAGACTGCGAGAACCCACTTTTTCTTTTGTATAAAGACTGCAAACCCACTTGGAACGCCTGTAAAAAAATTAGCCTGGAACCGGTAGAAACTAGAAACAATAGATCCTACCTACTGTGATAGTTCACGCCGAGAATTAAACTAAAAGCTCAGAGAGAGAGAGAGAGAACGGCGATTGCAGAGCAAATGGAGATAAGAGTTGCAGATAGAGGGAACATTTCTTGTATATCATTATTAAATTTTCCGGCCACGGTAGAGTGGAGGGGAGGTGTGGGATGGGGCATCTTGTGACATCTACCAAAATATAAAAAAAAAAGGAAGATGCCCACCTTTGGTTCTATTTCTTCTCCTTCCCCCCACTCTGGTATTACATCAAAAAATATTTAACCTCAGAACAGAGGAAATTAAACCCACTTCCCACTTCACTGACTTATTTTCAAAGCTCAAAAAAGGAAAAAACAGGAGGAAAAAAAACGCCCTCGTCCTCCCCCTTCGTAGCCAAACAACAAAAAACTGTATACAGACTCGTATTTATTTGTTTCCCCTACTAGCTATAACAAAAAACCATTTCTTCTTCTTCAGTAATATCTTTTTTTCCCCAATCAAAAGTAAAATTTCACTATAATCAACTCCTAAACTTCCCTCTTTTCTTCTTTCTTCATTTTCTACATTATTCCTTTCATAATCTTTTCTTTTCTTTCCAGCATAACTGCAACATCAGTAGTGGATTAGTAAAACTGTTGTAATTGGACTCGTCAATACGTCCAATCTTGGGGGAGGCGTATCTCATGGTTAATAGATCCCTGAGGGCGGTAGCTCATCTTCTTTTGAGACAAGGAGGCATTACTCCGAGCAGTCACCGGATCTGCAATACCAACTGCCCACATAACAAACACTACGTTAGGTGTATGCGTCGCCAACTCGAAAAGGGAGTTGAGGAAACCCAATAGCTCTCCTACCATTTTCAGTTGCGGCAAAAACTCCATGGATGCGTGGACGAGCACCCAAATCGTCGAAGTTCAAATTCAAGGCCTGCACCACTCTTGCAGGAAGTAGAACTGTCGAACACGCTGATGTACAGAAAACACAAGTTAACCCCATGAAAACCCAGATGGCAAAACAAATACTACCACCTCCGGCCACCCAAAAACAACTCATCAAAACGAACCGAAATACAAACCCAGTATTTGTAACAGACACCCAGTTGAACGGAACAAAAAACCCTTATACAGGCCCCGAACAAAATAAAAAGAAATCGCTTGGGAAAAAAACGGATCACTAAAAACCAACTCCATCAAACAAACACACCATTGAGAACAACGACCCTGTGAAAGACATAGCTCATAGAAAGAGAAAAGGAACAGAGGCTTTAGAAAGGAACAAAAATTACCTGGTTTTTTCCGGGATTCAGCTGGGTTACCTATCCTTCGAGGCAAGAAGACACCGGTTCCACTACACTCCCTTCTTGTACCGGAGACTCCAAGGAAAACAGCTCTCATACCCGAACCAGCTTGAGGCTGCTGCTGCAGAGGCGGCCACGCAGATGAAGATAAGCCCAGAGGGCGACCACCGTATCTACCGTTACCAAATCCGGCAGCCCTAGATCTATTTTGCAGTTGTTGCTGCTGCGGTGCTTGCGGCTGATGAGTGGCCCCAGCTATCTTCCCTGGTCTTCCCCAAACGGCAGAGAACTGTTGCTTCATCAGTTGTTGCCGTTTCAGCTGTTGAAACTGTACTCATAAAGGAACAACAGAAACAGTTTCAGTAAAGCATGCAAGGGAACACCGTCACTCTCTATTTCTACTAAGCAAGACTTGGAAAGCTTACTTGATTAGACTGCATCTGCTGGTGAGTAAAAACTTGATTTGAGTAGAATCCGGCACTAACAGTAGGGGTCTTCACCGGAACAGGTACTGGAGAAGGCTTTCGAGGTGGACCCAGAACTCCTCGTCCTTGATGATGGTTATTGGGCACCTCATCATCGTTCATCTTCATCCTCACGACCTGCCCCGCCGCAGCGTTGAGCAGATCCCAGGCATCATCTTTCCCATTCAGCGGCGTCGATGGGGGTGAGGAAACCTGGGAAGGGCCGTTGGGGCTCCCACGGCTCGAGCCCCCACTGCGACCAGACCAGCTTCCGACTGTGCAGAGAGTCGATTGAGGTGAACCAGCCATAGCCCATGTCTTCAAAATCAAGTAATAGACCCAAAATCAGAATATTACAGTAAAAACCCAAACAAGGAAGGAAACATCGAGGGAAGGAGAAAAAAGGAGGTAAAAGAGGCTTCTCCGGGACAAGGGAATCAGCATAAGAATACCTTGTTGTTCTCAGAACCAAAGGCAGGAGCGACAGTTTTGTCATCGTCTTGGAGCGTGGAATGGGCCATCTGGCGGGTTAGGCCAGCCAAGTAGTCCTCCTCATCACTCTCGGTCTCGGTAGAACCAACGAGCGACTCAACAGGGGAGCTGAGAGCGGTGGGAGAACCATGGCGAGGAAAGGGATGAGGAGGGAAGTCACAAGGAAAGAAGGCCGCGGGTGCATCGACATCAGTAGCAAAACCCTTGTTGCTGCGGAAATTATTCAAGTCCATGAGTATGTCGTCGTCAGTGAGAAACTGAGAAGGAAGCCAAAACTCTCCGTCGTCCAAGTCCTCTGCCATATCTGAAGCCCTAAAATTAAAGACCGAAAATCACGAAAAAGTCGAGAAGGGTTTTGAAGGCGCGAGTGATAGCGGTTGCTGCGTCGCGAAGATATATAATAATAACCTAGTTGGGGTTTGCTGGATTTGCAGGCCCAGGGCCCCGCTTCTAAAACAAAAGAAAATTTAAAAGGAAAAGGCAAAATCACAGCACACAGCCACACAGGGGAGAGGGGACTATAAACTGTGTAGACTGACCATACAGAGAGAGAGAGAGAAGAAAGAGTGAAGAATGTAGAAGACCAAACAGCTTTATTTAAGGTTTCTAGGTTCCTTTTTAGTTTTAGGAGAGTCTGAAAGGTAAGGAATGATAGTGTGGGAGTGCAAGGGTTTCACTCTCTTATCAGCCTCACCACTCAGGTATGTGTGTGCTTTTCCTCTCTCTCTCTCTCTCTCTGTATATATACACATCAAATATACGCAGGATTTAAAATAAAAACGTATAAAAAATAAAAAAAGAAGATTTTTATTTGTTAAGTGAAAAAAGAAAGGAAACCCTTAGTGCTAGTAGTAATGTAATGTTATTATGTTAATTCATGGTAAATTGGTAATAGGAAATTTGTAATAAAAACAGCTGGAGCCCACAACACCTCTCCCTCTCTGTCTCTCGCCCCCGCTTCTGTTTTACATTTGTCCTTGTGTGCAATCTCACATGCCATTTGTAAGAAGTATGAATCACTTCCTCTAATACAGTAATACACTAATACCCAAAGTTTATTTATTTAATAGCACATATTCTTTATTCTTGCTCGTTTTTTATTAATTTTACCGCCTATGTAGGAAAGGGGGTGCTTATATATATAACCCCATCAGAGTAGTGAGGTTGGTATCTACGAATTGCGGGAAACAGTACGAGAATTGAATTTGAACCACCTGTTTTCTCATTTCTCTCCCCCTCCAACTCCAAATGGTGATTTGTAAGACAAGTGGATTCAAATTTTGGGTTCACACTATTGAGTATTGACCACATTGTTCATCAAATATAAAAGAAACAAATCAATTGAAAGTTTGATATAAACATGACAATGGATCACAAACCATTATAGGCGATGATTGTGGACTTGATCATCATCAGCCTTCTCCTATTTGGATTGTCTACGTTAGAGTTGAGGATTAAGTAGGGCAATTCTCCGGGAGTTGTTTGCTCCCTCCTATCAATTGCACTTTGGCTCCTTCCTTGGGCCTAATGAAGTCATTGTCTCCGCTATTGGAAAAGGGAAGGATGGGAACTAGGTTGTCTTGTTCCTATATATAAATTCTGGATTTCAGTTACTCTTTATGAATTTTTATGTTGGAGAACTTGGAAGATCTCTGTCATCATTCCCTCAGGAATTATGATTTCGACGTACCACCAATACCTCCGCACTATGGTTTCAATGTGAGATTGGCGTTTAAGGATGAATGGTCTAAAAAAACAATTAGGCAGCAGGTGTTCTAATTTGAAACGTTTGTGTCATGCTTTTACATTGGGTATGATGTGATGAGTGAATTTTCTACAATGGGTGGGTGGTGTTCCAGAAAGAGTTACAAATGGATCGGATTTAATCCATTTCCAATTCGAAACCTTTAAGGTGGATTCTAATGAAGGGTGATTTGGCCCGAACTCGTAGTCCGGGGACATGTGTGCGTGATCTGGCCCAATCAACAGTTCATCCTGACAGTACGACCGTGACTCGACGGAAGAGATGCGCCGAGTCCAACGCTAGCTACTCGGGGAGCTAAGCGACTCACCGAGGATTGAACCTGGCCAATTTTTTACACCCACCAAGTGTGGAAGGTCCGGAGCTGTCCCAAGGGCCCGAACTCCCCCAAAGGGGCCCGGAGCTCCTCCCTCCCGAGGAAGAAGCACCCCGGTTCTCGGCTAAGTACCGCGGGCACCTCGGGGCAGCCCCGCCCTCGGCACCTCGGCACCGGGACAAACCTGCCCCAAGCATTCCGTGGGGAGCCCTACCTGACATCCGTATCCGTCGGTCCAGGTGGTAGGGCTCTGATCCCTTGCCAAGCGGCGTTCTGTTTGCTGCCTCTGGGAAGCATGACACGTCTGTCAGGCCCGTACCTGGCAATGGCAATGTGTGGCGGCCACCTGCACCTGCCACGCCTGTCCTGGCAGTAACGGCTAGGGCGGTGGCGGTTATGCCAGGTATGACCGGGCTCCAGCATAAAAGAACTCCAACTCCCACAAGGAAAGGGTATTGAAGCTTAAGCACTTTCTGCACTCTTACTCTCTACTCTCTCTTTGAGATTTTCCCCAGTTCTAACTTAGTCGTCAGAGTGTTCCCACCAGGATATCTCCCCGGGAACCCTTCACTTTCTCCTTCCTCTCAGGTGTCATTCGTCCCAGCCGGGAGCTAGGTCACATCCAGCTAGGAGTGCCCAGATCGTGCAGCATCATTTGGCGTCGACTGTGGGAAACGCTTCAAAAAGCCTCCCTTTAATCTCTGTTAAACTTCCTTCTTTCACTCACCAGCACCACCGATACCCATGGCTTCTTCTAGCAACTCTGAACGCCATAACACCCCAGAGGAGCAAAGCCAGCCACCTACTGTTTGCATCAGGCAGTTCACCGTTCCCCTCTCAACGGACGGGGTCCCTAGCCTGAACGTGCCTGCAATGGTGGCACTCGTAACTGTCCCACTACCCCCAACGGTAGGGACGACCTCCGCCGAACCCACCATTCTCCCTCCAGTTGCCGGCCAAGGCCAACTTGAAGACTTGATGCAGTGCATGCGGGCCATGCAGGCCCAAATGCAGCAGTTTCAACAACTCCAGTTCCACTGGCAGCAAGTGTTGCACCAAGTATCCCAATACCAATACCAGCAATAGTTCCCTTCACTCCCCCCCCCGACATCGGGCGGCACAGCCAGCTAAGCCTCAGCGCCGCAGTGAACTCCCTTCCCGCCGGGGAGAGACTTCAACATCATCTCACAGAAGGAAGGGAAGACTCCCTACCCCCGCCATACTGCCCGCAGTCAGGTCGGGGGCTTCCCAGCCGGTTAGGCCGGCATCACCCCAACACTCGTAGTTCGAGTCTCTACTTGCGGAGAACAGGTTCGAGGCGCTAGCGGACGACCTGGAACAAGGCTCTTCTGTCCGTAGCTACCGGCAGCCATCCCTGCCTCCCCTTGGGCCCATCGAGCTCAGCAATACAGAAGCAAGCAGCACCAACGCCGAGCCGACCAAGAAGCAGCGAAGACGCCGCCAGACTCGCCGAACCGCCACCGCCCTCAATTTGCCCGAGCTCAAGGGCAAAATAGAAATAAGCTTGGGAGAGATAAGAGATGCACCACTCCTCTCGGGCCCCTCTCCTCTGTCCCTAGAGCTTCTCACGGTCCCCATGTCCAAGGACTTCAAACTCCCTCCGTTGGACAAATACGATGGGTCCTTCGACCCCAACACCACATCGACGCCTTCCAGTCCCAGATGCATCTGGCCAGGGCGAGTGAATCTTGCATGTACGTGGCCTTTTCTACTACGTTCAAAGGGGTGGCCCGTACTTGGTACTGAAACCTATCATCGGGCTCGATAAGGAGCTGGGCGTAGTTCGTGAAGGTCTTCACCTCCCACTTCGTCACTAGCAAGAGGTGTCCGAGGACCCAAGAAAACCTCCTCAGCATAGTCCAGAGAGATGGGGAGTCCATCCGGAACTATGTCAAGCGGTTTAATGACGCTTGCCTACAGATACCCGACCTAGACCCTGTAGTCCGGCTTACGGCGGCCAAACGTAGCATCACCCACAAAGAGTTCAGATGGCACGTGGTCGTCAACCATCCCAAAACCATGACCGAGTTCCTCGAGCTCGTCGATTGGTTCATAGGAACAGAGGAGGAGATCAACCAGAAGGGCGAGCACGCCCCTGAAAAAAGAAAAAGGGAACCGGAGCCCCCAGCTCCTAATGACTACAAGAAGAAGAAAGATCAAGCTCGGGGGGCAAATCCAGTTCAGCCTTTCCGAGCTCCAGCAGTAGAAAAGGTGTTTACACCCCTCAACACGAAGTGGGCCGAGATCCTCATGGCGATCAAGGACGCCCCGTATGTAAAGTGGCCATCTCGGCTCAAGGCTGACCCTAATGTTAGGAACAAGAACTTGTACTGTAGCTTTCATAAAGATCACGGTCATAGCACCGAAATGTGTAATAACCTTCGCGATGAGATAGAGGAGCTCATCCGTCGCGGGTATTTGAGAAATTTCGTACATCACGGCAATAATAATAATAATAAGGTAGGTCAGCATGAGGAACAAAATAAAGAAACCCTCGAGTCCAGCAGACAGGCGGAGCAACCGCAAAGACAGCCTCCAGACAAGAGACCAGTCCGAGGGACCATCCACGTAATCGTCAGAGGATCAATTGTCGCAAGTTACAGCTCGGTCATCAGCTCGCGAAACTGCCAGAGAAGAGCTAAACCCTCCGAAGCGGCCAAGGGTGGTGGAGCCGATCTTCTTCACTGAAGACGACGCGCGAGGAGTCCACTACCCCCACGACGACGCGCTCGTCATCAAAATCAAGATCAACGACTACGAAGTCAAATGTGTCCTGGTAGATTCGGGTAGTTCGGAAGACATCCTTTTCAAGGCAGCCTTCGATCTGCTTCAGATCCTAGAGGCCGACCTAAAGCCCGCAAGCACTCCACTAGTGGGGTTCAGCGGTGAGGAGGTCAGACCTCTAGGGAAGGTCACTTTGCCGGTGCAGGTCGGTACCTAGCCCAGTGTGGTGAGGCTCAGTCATGAGTTCTTGGTGGTCGCGACCCCCTCTCCATACAACGCGTTAGCAGGCTGGCCCATCGCCCACATCCTGCAAACGGTAGTCTCCACCTACCACCTAGTGATGAAGTTCCCAACAGACTTCGGAGTCGGGGTGGCGCGAGGCGATCAGCACGAGTCCCGCAAATGTTACGTAGCCGCCCTCAAAGGAAAGGCCAAGGCAGCCGATGGCCTCGAGCTGGGACGACCCGCAGAGCAGTTCGCAGAGCGGGCCACACCTACTGAGGAAACCATCCTCGTCCCGACCTCGGCGGATGATCCAACTCAAGTACTTCAGATCGGCGCTTCTATTAAGGAGCCCTTGCAGTCTCAATTGGTAAGCTTCTTACTTGAAAACCTAGATGTTTTTGCATGGTTGGCGGCAGAAATTCCCAGCATAGACCCCAACATTATTACTCACAGACTCAATACTAATCCTTCAGTTAGGCCCGTTAGACAAAAGAAGCGCAACCTAGCCCTGGAACGATGGAGGGCAGCCGACGAGGAGGTCGGGAAACTCCTTGCAGTCGATTTTATCAGGGAAGTCCATTACCCGAACTGGGTGGCCAACCCTGTTCTGATTAAAAAGGCAA